GACGAGAGAATGGCATCTCTCTCTCTCTCAATCTCAAGCAATCTCTCTTTCAATCGAAGATAATCTTCTCTTTCAATCGAATCTCTCGATCTTGTGGTCCTCACAGTCTGGTGGAACTGGAAGCAAAGATGGCTCTATCTTGTGCGATCGTCGTCATGAAAATCTATCCGTCGTTTCATCTTCACAGCCGTCTCTGATTCCACGGCAGAGATGGCTCTATGTGAGAAGAGAGATTRTGAGGATGGATTCCTTGCAAGAGCTGCAGATTCCACGAGCTCTTCTCTTTCCTTGGCTTCCGGTGATAAGACGTTAATCCCCGATGATGAATTCATGCTTCTGAACGAATTAGTTATGAATACAAAGATCTCACACCAGATGAAATCACAATCAAGGTAATTTCTCTGTCTCTTCATTCATCTTTTTTAATRGATTTGGTAGTTTTTGTTCAGAGTTTTCGTGTGCCATTTGAGAGTTTGAAATCCTGAAGTGCATAGCCGAGAATTTGGGTTAATTAGAATTATAGGACTAATTGGATCCCCATGGACGAAACAGGAGATAAATTTATGTTATAATGTTCTACTCAAATTTTCAAAATTGGAGTCTTTGCTTAATAATCTGTCCGTATTTCTTATTCCGAAGCCAGGGAGAAGATGGTCCTGAGCTTCCAGTTGAAGGGCTTTGTTACAGGTATCTGTAGTGACCTTTCTGGCTTTGGATTATTATGGATAAAATACTGTGTTTCAGTGATGTTCAAGTGTCATTCCTTCTCATTTGGGTAGAGATTTCTCTCAGTCTAGGAAAGAGCCTTATTTGGCTGAAGATATAAAGAAGCATAGTTAAATGAGTGATATAGAATTCTTCCACAAAGCTGAGCAAGAGAAGCCAATGATGAAGTCTCCAATGAAGTCTCCGAGAGCTCTACCGAAGAAATTCTCATATCTAGCAAAGTTAGAGAACATGAGAAGTCCGAGTGACAGACACTGATGATAGAGATCAAAACAGGTAATAGAGCAGAGCATATAGAAGAAGAAAAAACATTTGAGGGTTTAGTTTCGTTTAGATTCGTACAATTAGCCATTAATTTCCGTATTTGATGATTCAATTTCACTGATTCTGCAAATGTTGTACTTGGTTTTTGAATAGTTTTTCGATTTTATGAAATAATAATGCTTGGGTTTTTGTTTCCSATGTGAATTTTCTATGTTTTGATTGGAATCTAATAAGATCTCTGGTTTGCTTTCAATCTCGCTGTGTAGGTTTACATGGCACCACTGTTTGAAAACCAATACAAACTGCTTGCTCGAGCTGGAAATAGAATGCAAGAGGTAAAATAAAA